GTCTGTTTATTTCTGCTGTTGTTGTTGTTGTTGTTGTTGTTATTATTGTTATTAATTATAATGCGAAGATATTTTACTACGCTGCATCAGCTACTTGGGTTATGTAGCACTGAATCAGGTATGGAGAGTTAGATTGTAAGTCAGTAGGGAGGTGAGACTACGAATTTAAACTAAACGATGTTCCAAATTCAGTTCCTATTTCAAAAAGAACATATAGCTTCTTCATTGCAGAGATCAATTTGTTAACGCTGTTTATATATCTAATCGCTGTTTATTATGAGAACCACACGAAATCCATAGAGTAAATTCTGTGGAGAAAATGTGGAATTACACAATGTTAAAATTTGTGGTGCGTAGGATTACCAATAAGCCTTAAGGGGTTTTAAGAACGATTAACGAACCAAATATAACACATAATACTGTAATTGATTCGTAGATTATTTAACCAAGCATTACCACCTAAATGAACTTGTTAAATCAAGAGTACTGATTCTGCTTTAATTCATCAACATCCATCAGTCGTATTATAAAACTTAATTGTGCACGTTTTATTCATTGCGTAAGATATTACCATAAAAATACTAGAATTACAGTCGACTCTCATATCGATATAGACTTCGAGACATTATAAAAAACTACAGAGCTATCAAAATTATTTATTGCACTATACCAGAAATTTATATGGCTGCACATATACTGCATTTCACGACTGAAGAGTGAAAACATTGAGAGCAATAAGTAACCGGGTCTCTTGGCTGATGTCACCGTGCAAACCCAGGCTCTATTGCCAACGTTTCGGATATATTACTGTTTCCATCTTCAAAGTAAAGTGACAACACAATGGTCCCTGCCGATCTTATAGAACAGATCCACAGGGATAATGCCAGCTTTACATTGAAGATGGAAACAGTAATATCTCCGAAACGTCGTCAATACAGCTCGCATCTACAAGGCGCCCTCACCCACAAACAGTGTTCTTAACCACTGAACCGCCACGAAATTACATCTTCTCTGACAAATGTAGGCCTACTGTTTGTGTAGCCTGCGCACATTCCGGTAGTTAATTGGGCCCTATACTCAGATTGGGAGTGCAAATTCTGTTCTAATTCATACAAAAACAAAAACAAAAACTGTTACCCTTAGATAGACAAACCTGAGATAATTACTGATGTCTTTCTATTTATAAAATTAAGCACAGGGTGTTGCATAACTTTGTTTCCAGTATTAACCTGGATACTGTAAGTGGATGATACATAAACACCAGTTCCTGCACACACATTCGAAAGTTGTTGTCGAAGCAAGTAGATTTAGCTTATATGTGCATATGTATAATTTATTTTACCAGATCCACTCAAAATATGCTCTTAAGATATTTCAGGCACGGCCATCAGACTGGAAGGGGGATTTAAGTTGCGGGGGTTGGCTCCGGAAGTAAATGGGTAGACAGAGGACTGGAAATAAGCCCCCTTCACTTCACCAACCCCCTGGCAAACCCAGGACGCAGGTTTGAACTGAAATCAAGACTGCAAGGACGGTCGCCTTCCTGGCGCCAGAGTTGGAGACCGGGAGACGTCAGGCGTTCAAATCCTGCACGCCTCCTGCCCATGGAAAACGAAAAGGGGGGGAAAAAGTTTCAATTTGTACCCGAATTGAAAGACCCGGTGCATTGTTCTGTAGAAAGAGCGTAGGCTGTAAGCCACAGACCACAGACTGCTTCTGTACGGAATGATAGCCTGAAGCCCTTATGAACCAAAGCACAGATAAAAGCATGAAGATGTCTGTCTTGTGGATTGTCATCCCCATGATGATAGAGGCAGGAAGAACCTCTGAAACGTCGGTAAGCTTTTAGCATACTACACGGTGCTACAACCCAGAAGGCAGACTTGCACTCTCCTCTTTTTAAACACTACTGGTAAGTTGAAGAATAAGACAGAAGAAAAGAAGAGTGAAAGAAAATAGAAAGAAATTAGAAGAATATTATGTGAATATAGGTAAAAATAACTATTAAATAAACTAAAAATATGTACTGAGATTACTCATCTAGGATCTGATTTCTCAAACTTTCTGCTCTTAAGCATTTCCTAACTACTACGAAACTCTAAAAGGCCTCACCATATACGGCGCCAAGAAAGATCTTGCTTTAAACATTAGGGGAAGAAATTATTGTTGGAATGTCTTTATAAACGACTTAAAATTGGAAAATATTTTAACATCGCTGACATTCTATTGGTGTCACAGAAGTTATCTAAATACGCATATTATGACTTAACGCAGTAAAGTTGGCATTAAACTGACAGTAAACTTATATCATTACTACGGTTGTCTGTCAGAACCTCTATAATCAAACTTTGCCATAATGTAAAGAATTTACGTACACGGCAATTATAGAATAAATGAGTCGTAGAAATGATATAGCATTCCATTAAAATGGTTCATTTACATTATGTTTTATTCGATAGTCATAAGATATGTTTAAAGACTGTCTGGTATTGGAATCCGAAGGTTAAACAAAGCTACGTGACGCCAACCATAGGATTCAGCAATGAGTCAGCAACATTGTGGAAAATGGCTTTCTTATATGTACCTTAATTAACACTGCTATCATTTCGCGACCATTATCAGCCATTCTTCCTCATAATAATCATCTGATTGATAGTGATTGACGTTCATGTACCATTTGATGAAATGTAGTGAATAAAGAAGCTGAAAGAGCACACAACACAAAGATCTAGTGATTCAAATACAGTACAAGTGGCATATGAAGGCAAATGTAATACCGATGATTGTTGGTTTAGATAATATAATTTGATTACTCTTTATAAAGTTCCCTATCAATACCGAATTACATTAGCTTGTACTGATATTGCCCAATACATCCCACATCAACACGTTGCCGTCACCTGAAAACATAACCAACGTCCGACTGCCTAAAATCAACATCTTATTGGGCATTTTCTGTTCTCTGTGGCGCATTTAATACTCCTCAGAAACAGGGTGTTCCCCAGTCCTCGGGTGCCTAGCTGATATAGCCTAATATCAAAAGGCCACGGGTTCGATCACAACTTCCGCCACTAGCCTTAAAATGAAAATAATGTCTGTCGGTACTAGCGTACAGAGTGCCCCGTTTCAAATAACCCAACAACAACCACGCAGTAGCCCACTGTACAGTAATGAAATCAGAAGGAGGTCCCAGCCTCCACCGCGACACGCAAGTAGGGTCATCCTGGATGCTAAGACATTTTATAACATGCTGGTTCCTTGCGGTGAAGATTTAACCCCTGGATTAATCCCAAACATGAAAGACCACCCGTTGTCGGATGTCCATGAATATATGCAGCTGCCGTCCACATATGGAGGCATTTTCTTTAATCCATAAACTGCAGACACTTCATATCGTGGCGGTAAGTAGTCTCTAACCTGGACACCATGGAGCCTTAATTCTGGAATGGAGGGTAGATGCGCTATGTTCTCGGAGCTGTAAGGTAACAAATCTTCATGTTTCATTCAGTCTGATTTAATTTCGTTTTGCATGCAGATGTCTTCACACTTTATTCCCGGTTTATACAAATGTATGTGAAATCTTTTCTATGTAACCGGGCGTGCGTGTAGGAAACACGTGATACTGTCCCATTATCCACCAACAAAAAATTATTTCTGGAGCCAGTTCATTTGGATTCTGCTGGGCTTCCTTTCCATTACATTACAGATTTTCGCACTATGTAACATTTAAATTGTAATGTCGTGTTCTGAAAAACAACAGCAGAAGTAACACGAACGTATTCTGCAAACTTGGCGTTTAGCAGGTGTGATGAATGCGGCGCCAGGACACAAAGTGACGTCACATAAATAACCACGCCTCTCACTACTGACGTCATACATCTCTACAGTGCTTCGTTCTGGACTTTTTGTTACAATTTTTGGCAATACTGCAAGAAAATATTACACGATCACTTGTCTGACTAGAATCCACGATGAAAAAAATGTACGAGTAAACATTTTCGTTAAAATAAACTTTTACTCACAGAACGCTTATAAATTATTTAGTATGAAGATTTGTGTCTTCTGGGTTGTTGCGCTGTGTAGTATGGTAGATGTTTACCGACGTTTCAGAGGTCATATTGCCTCCGTCATCAGGGCGATTCATCTTCATACTCACCGCTGTGATAACCTCAAATCATACAATTATTTAGTAGTTTTCAGAAGAAGAGAATACCTACAATTCATGTTACAATACCTGAGTGTGCATTTATTTCGCAGACGTGTGAAGCCCAAAGTTCCCAGTCAATATATTAGCCCTCTCTAGCCGATCCAAATAGATATCCCTCACCTGAACATGACAACAGATCTAGCTTCGGAAACACAGTGATCTCTCTGCAGGATATACGACGATGGACAACCGAAAAATCTTTGAATATAAACTGTGATATACCATCATCAGTATCCTGTAAGGTGCATACATTTTTTCCTACTTTCGTTGTAACATTATTATATAAGTCTCGGTGCAAACGATTAGACGAGTAATACATTTATAACAATAAATGGTTTAATTATAATTTTCTTTATATCTGTTTCGGAGGGTTTGACAAATTTCCATCCCTTTCAACACAGTCTAACTATAATGAATGCTGATTCATTACTTAAGTTAGTTAGTTAGTTAGTTAATTCCTTTTATTCCTATAGGGAACATAGGGCTGATTACCTAAGTTATGAAACAGATAAATCTATAGAATCTGATACGAGATAAACTATTAAAAAATATGATCGTGTAATTGTAATCCACCACTCTCTGGCGTCATCACTGCATTGTTCACTTCCCCTCATAGCCCACGCAATCACGTGGAGTTCTAATGCACCCCCATCCACCCCAAGTAGTCACCCCTTATCTGTTTTACTGGATTCCATTCTAAGGGCTACAGAATCCTGCATCCCCACCCTCAATGGATTGTTGCGTGTTCCATTGATATCTCTTGCACCACCCCTATACACCCCTCACCCCGAAAGAGAAACCACCCCTTTGCTGAGACGTGTAGGTTTGGTCTCGTATATAAGATAAGCGCAGGCTTTCTTGAATGGAGATCCCTTACGAACTGTGATTACAGCTTTGTTGAAGTCGTCCAGAGAGATCCACCCGAAACTCATCTTTAAGGTATGAATATAAGATGTGTCTCATTATTTGTTGTACAGAACGCGTCTAGTTATGCATGAGAGCTGCCTATAGTTTATAATTAGAATGCTAAAAACACTTGTACAATACCAGCAAAACAGAAATTAGTTAAGGCTAGAGTTTTACTTATTATTAATTATGGACACAAAATGAAACTTGCCGTACGCTTTTAATTGGACGCTTTAAATATTTACAGCTCAGTAGTAATTACGTATACCACCCGCTTTAATATTCAGTGACTAAAAATTCTGACCCGAAAGTTTATTTATGAGTTTAGTGTGATTCTCAGAACAAACAGCAATTTTTTCCTCGAACAGCATTAACCAACTGATCTTTTAAGATGGCACACTATGTCTTCTTTGCGATACGAAGTAAATTTTAAATATTATTTAGATGAGCTTCTCTTTAGAAGCGTTGCCAGAAAAGGGGCTTGGATTCCGGTGTGCATCGGAATTCATAAGCTAATTGACTCAGGTGTTAGGCAGGCCTACTCCAACTTACCATTTTGATTTATTAAGCATTTGATATTTTAAACGTATTCATTCGTATTTAGAAAGAAAAGCCGTTTACACAAGTTATCGAACATCTCCAAATTCAATAGATTATACTGCCTAGAATATTAAGCTACTTTAAACGCTGGGTTGGAATAACAATTTGTTATGCAATAGTAGCCCGCCATTAGCACAGGAACTGTTTAAATACACGTGACCAAGAAGGCCACTAAATATTCGAAGATATCTGTGTTCTGGGTTGTTGCGCCGTGTAGTCTGGTAGAAGTTTACCGGCGATCGTCCTGATGATGGAGGCAGCAAACACCTCTGAAACGTCGGTAAACTTCTACCAGACTACACGGCACAGCAACCAAGAAAACAGTCGTTTTCATGCTCGCCGCCGTGATAACCTAACATCTTACATGTAATGCTTAGTGTATGGATATTTTTAGTTAAACAAATGATTTAAAATTATGTGTGATTACATTCCACGAACTAAAAATACATACTGAATATGATAAAGAATTTCAGAATTTGTTTACTCACCAACTGATGTTACACTTCGGGAGAGGCACTGTTTAGAACAGCCGTGGCTCTGGAAAAAAAATTAAAATCAATAATGTTTGTTATTTCAAAGCAAGTAAGTTTATTTAAACCCACAATGCTCTATCGTAACTATGACTGTCCTGATTTCGAACATGTCTTCGTTACAACTTAGAGCAGATCTATATTTTACGAGTTTCTGTTCCCCCTAACAAATGTGTAATCGTTAAGTAGTTTATATTATTAGTATTAGTTAAGCATTTCAGCTACCCATAAACATATTATTATTATGATGCAGGATTTATTATTATTGATTAGATACAAATGACAGTTAATTTATATAATAATGACAGTCAAGTGACTTTTATTTAGAACTTGCTCTATTATTTATAATTTAAATTACAAACAATTGATATGTCTAGGCAAAAAAAAAATATATATATATATATCTTTATAGAAATGTAAAATGATAATCACAGATTCGTTTTCTTTTACCCAAGAGAAGGCTGGGTGGGCCCCAGAGCCGGTCTGGACGCAGAGGCTAGAGGATAAATCCTCTGCCCCCGTCGGGGATCGAACCCCGGCCGTCCAGCCCGTAGCTAGTCACTATACTGACTGAGCTATCCCGGCTCATTTTTTTTACCCATGCATGTCTATAAAACTAGGTATTTAAAAGCACTGTTACAACTTTCTTACATTCTATCTACAGTACTTGCTATGAACTAAGTATATAACAAAATTTATCGTAAAAATGCTGTTTCTGGTTATAATGTTTTGTAAGTCAAATGAAAGTGAGAAAGAGAGGTGAGTTTTCCATGTTTTATTTTATTTTGATTCCTCTCTTCGTCCTATCCCCCCCTCCATGCCACTGGTTCAGAGCGTTACCTATTGTGGGCCACTCCTCATTAGCTCTGCCACGATACAATTAATAAGAGTGGTGATGATACGGCATTAATAGGCACGTGATCTGTTTTTTCACTACATCTTTATTACTGAAACACTAAACCGAAGTAATTGGTTTTATTCCGCCGTATAATTTATGTAGGTCATCACCATCAACATGGCGTCGGGAGCGCACAGATTTGGACTCAATCCAGGCGCCAGTTTCACTCTATTTCTTTGGCGCCATCAGCACCCCCCCCTTCCCTCTGCTTTACTGTCTTCATCCGTGATCGTTCATTCGAAGCACGGAGTTAGAGATAGAAATAAAGTTACACACAAAATTCATCCTTAAATTTGATGCATACAAACATTGTAGTTGTCCCTAGTCATAAAAAAATGTTTTATGCAGAATGCGAACAATTGGTAGTCTTGTAGTCTTTAATGCCTTTCTATGGGAATGTGACTTTTTTTTTTGGGGGGGGGGTTTGAGAAGGACGCAGTGAGGAAGATATTTGGACATAAGAAAGATGATGCTTGTTACTTCTCAGTTCAAAATATTTTGTCTTCCCGTTTGATTTCTAAGAACCTGAAAATTAAAGTCTACAAAACAATAATCTTGCCTGTTGTTTTGTATGGTGCAAAACATGGTCTCTCACTCAGAGGGAGGAACACAGATTGCAGGTGTTTGAGAACAGGGTGTTGAGGAGGATATTTGGGCCTGGGAGAGAAGAAGATGGGGCATGAGAAAACTACATAATGACAAACTTAAAAATTTGTACTCCTCCCCCAGTATTGTCAGGGTGATTAAGTCAAGAAGAATGAGATGGGCTGGGCATGTAGCGCGCATGGATGGGACAAGAGACATGCACCGGGTATTGGTCGGGAAGCCTGAGGGGAAGAGACCGCTGGGGAGACCTAGACGTAGATGGGAGGATAATGTAAGGCGGGATCTATGGGAGATAGGAGTTGGTGGAGACTGGATTTTGTTGACTCAGGACAGGGTCCGGTGGAGGGCTTTGTTTAATTCGGTGATGAACCTTCGGGTTCGGTAAGCCATCTAGTTAGTTAGTTAGTTAATTAGTTAGCTAATGAATGTGAGCGAAACGTTGTCACTCGGAATGTGCGTATGTCCAACGGACATCAATTGATTTCACATATTGTTGGGTTAATGTCTGATTTGCATGAGGCTTGTTCTTTCGCCCCTACTGCCATGCTTCTTAACTCCCATGACACGACGTGGTTTGATGGACCAAAATACACGATATTATACATGGTGGACCATATGATCATATGATACGTTAAATAGATAGGTCTAGGATAAGATAGATACGCAGTGGTGTGCTGTATGAATTACATAATACGATATGATACATGCTGTTATGAAACTAATATGCTGCATAACACAGACTGCAATACGATTCGATATAGGCCTATATGGTATACAACATCTGAATTGATTGCAGACATGATCTTATGTTTATATACGAACAGAATACTCGCACATGACATTCGGTCATTTGCGTCGGCCTGTTATTAATTTTATGACCGTAATAAGTTATTAATTTTTAGAAGATCATCAGTAGATTATTAATGACGCTGCATCATCTTTTTTCACCATATCCTCGTGTCAAGTGGTCTGAGAGACGTCTCTCTCAATATGTCTTGCCAAACCAGCAATTTTAGCGCTTTAATACTACAGATTACATATAACACAGTGTATTTTCGTATTAATCATTGTTTACCTGCATTTGAATGACTGGTGCACAGAACGATTTAGTGGTTAGCATTCCTCATTCGTGTTCGGCGGGTTCTAATATTGTTCATGGTTTTCCTCTGTCCCTCCAGTCGAATTATGATACAGCATCTTATAACACGCCACAAATAATGTCTTAGACATCTTATCCAATTCATAACTCATCTTACAATTTAACTCTATACAACACAGGCAGTTGATAGAGCGTTATTATTAAATAAACTATAAAACGTGCCAACTAACTAACTGGTACAGAATATTTTCTGAGGGACTGTAGATATTCAAATAGTCATCACCTTCGTCTTGGGAGGGAACTAGAAAATCAGTCACTACACCTCGACAATGGATAATATTCTATGCCATGTCAGATGGGTTCATAAGCAAGCGACTATCTTCTTGTCTCGCATGAGGCTTGTTCTTTCGCCCCTACTGCCATGCTTCTTAACTCCCATGACACGACGTGGTTTGATGGACCAAAATACACGATATTATACATGGTGGACCATATGATCATATGATACGTTAAATAGATAGGTCTAGGATAAGATAGATACGCAGTGGTGTGCTGTATGAATTACATAATACGATATGATACATGCTGTTATGAAACTAATATGCTGCATAACACAGACTGCAATACGATTCGATATAGGCCTATATGGTATACAACATCTGAATTGATTGCAGACATGATCTTATGTTTATATACGAACAGAATACTCGCACATGACATTCGGTCATTTGCGTCGGCCTGTTATTAATTTTATGACCGTAATAAGTTATTAATTTTTAGAAGATCATCAGTAGATTATTAATGACGCTGCATCATCTTTTTTCACCATATCCTCGTGTCAAGTGGTCTGAGAGACGTCTCTCTCAATATGTCTTGCCAAACCAGCAATTTTAGCGCTTTAATACTACAGATTACATATAACACAGTGTATTTTCGTATTAATCATTGTTTACCTGCATTTGAATGACTGGTGCACAGAACGATTTAGTGGTTAGCATTCCTCATTCGTGTTCGGCGGGTTCTAATATTGTTCATGGTTTTCCTCTGTCCCTCCAGTCGAATTATGATACAGCATCTTATAACACGCCACAAATAATGTCTTAGACATCTTATCCAATTCATAACTCATCTTACAATTTAACTCTATACAACACAGGCAGTTGATAGAGCGTTATTATTAAATAAACTATAAAACGTGCCAACTAACTAACTGGTACAGAATATTTTCTGAGGGACTGTAGATATTCAAATAGTCATCACCTTCGTCTTGGGAGGGAACTAGAAAATCAGTCACTACACCTCGACAATGGATAATATTCTATGCCATGTCAGATGGGTTCATAAGCAAGCGACTATCTTCTTGTCTCGTTTTAATATTATCCTCTCATCTGTGTCTCGGTAATCCAAATGATCCCTATTCATGGCGCATACCAATCCGAATATTGTATATATTTCTTGTTTCAGTTTAGTTGCTCTAAAACAGCGACTGTTAACCTATGATACGCGTACCACTGGTGGTACGCGAACTAAGTAAAAAAATCAAAAGATAATATTAACATAAACAAGTTATCCCTGAACGCATTTGGTTAGCTGTACATTTAAAGTGTTAAATTAGAAGTAGTGGTACGCCAGCGAAAAAGGGTGAGAACCCCTGCTCTAAAATATCACTATACGAAGCACAAAACACGTAACAAAAACTCTCTATCCACTTGTTAGGTGCCTTCGTTCATCTGGTGGGGATCACGAAACATCTGGCAGTCCGGTGTTCTATCTTTGCGTGCACCCCCCCATCCCCCTCAAGTACGACAGACGAGCGACCTGAGTTTTTCGTAGTGACCCAAAGGGAAGGCGGGGGAAAGAATTTCCTTTTTCCTTAACCTTTGATTCGACTCATCGATAATGAAGTCAAACCTTTGGTCAGGCAAATTAAATCTGACACCAACTCAGTATTGAGTTAACTCGGCTCTGGAAATCCTGAAGAAATAATTTGTATGACTGTTCCAGATGTGCTGTCGTCAGGCTGTTCTTTTGGCTTTGATGCTCGTTGTTATGTACGCCGCAACAGAAGCCCGTTATCTCCCCACCAGGAGTCAGGATGACCGCCTGGACAGGCTTCGAGAACTTCTTAGAGATGTAAGTACTGCGTCTTACATGCTATTGGTTACAGTTCCGATACTGAGCCTGAATGTTCAGAAGTTTTAACTTACTGTCTGCTGGTCGAGGAGGACATTATGGTCTATTCAGGATGTGCACAAACACTGGCCAGGGAGGGCAAGTACCGGGTAAATACCTTTGAAGGCGGTTCACGTCATGAACTTTGCCCCTCGACTTACCACTCTGAGCTTAATCACATAGAGTTCGTATGAGCTTTGATTAAAGCGCCGTCGTGTGAATGTTAACTACGCATGTCTGTACTTGTTCCTCGTCTGTTTACTTCCAATCCATGCACATCTTGAACAAAGCATAGTTCTTAATACAGTAACTGAGTGAGGAGAACTGACCTGGAGCACACTTTGAAGCCACAAGGGACTTATAACACAGGTTGTGATAATAGCTGGTAAAAATTCTTCGACTGTTGGGTGCTTCAGAGAGCGAGAATTTATCGCTAGCAAAAATAAGTTCCATTTGGAAAGACTTGATCCTTATCCTGCAACGTACATTAATCGAGTTCAACACACAACAGATAAACTGTAAGAAATATATGTATTCAAATGGGCTTTACATCAATGCTGCTTCTGTAATTAGACTAGAATATATGGAAGTAACTTCAAAAGCCTACTCACAGCTATTAGAGTTTTATAGCATATAAAGCTCTTACTAACGTACTCCCTATTATCTAATTTAAAGTTACTGATGTATCTCTGGTGTTTTTTTCTTCGCATGTTTCTGTATTATATACAATACATGCTAAATTTCATTAAAGTTTCTTCTACTGACAATTGCTGACCATAACAGTAACATGTGACTAGCATATTTTGAGAAGTGATACAACTCTAATGAATCCTACTATAAAACAAACACACAGTTGGGTCACGATCAGAGCAGCTTTACTTTTACGAATATTATCAAGGACTGAAGACGTTTAGAGCAAAAGTAATCGACGATTCCGAACAAGATACCTCGTTCGTAGCGTCGAAATATGAAAGTGTTCATAGTAGAGGCATGTAACGTTTATTAACAGATGAACAGGAAGTTGAGACAAATTAGGCTAGCCCGACCTAGAATCACGAACCGTAATTCGGAAAGATTCCATAAGCCTACACTGAGGGCTAGACAGACAGTTGCAGGTCAATTAGCAGGCCGAGAGAAAGTTGTGATGGTCACGGCGACGGTTTTCACGCGATCTGAATATTTATATCATCATGCTTCTTTTTCATAAATAGACTACGTGTGTATTCCATCGTTGCCACAGTGAGTGGAAACCTACGGATGTACCTAACACAAGTATCGCTTATCGTAATTTGTTTCGGACGGCAGAATCACTAAATAATTTATGTTGTTTTACAAATTATAACTAAGTACTGAATAACTAACAAACCAGGTAACAAACTGGCTGGCTAACAGTCTGTATAACTACGTCATTGTAAAATAAATTGACCCTCTAACAAACAAATATGAATGTCTTGATATTTTAGTACTGCCAACACAGAATTAGATACTTGGAACTTTACCTGGGCCAATTAAATTTCGACACATTAGAGTATTTGTCATGGAATCAATTTCAATGTTAGACCTGTGGCTGCATTATTTTCTTTCAGTCAATCCTGCCGCCTTCCTTATGTCTGTGGCTTTGGGTAAGAAAAAACTTCAGGACGACAGCTCTGACCCTTAATTTGCTGGACAGAGAGAACAAATGTGGCTGAAGTAGGAACAATTTACCTCTCGAGTCACATCACAGGCCAAAGTAATATATATATATATATATATATAATGCTGGCATAGAAGCACAGCTGTGTGCTCTGCACACTGTAACACATCCGAGCACAGGATAGTACTGTTTAGCGGCGGTACGCATGGGAGTTCGCGGTCGGAATCCTGAGGAAGACGGATTGCAATGTGAAGTACTGGTGAAAGTGAAGCGATTCCTTCAGTGTAAAAACGACACATATTCTCGCTGATTTGAATATGCATTGCGAGACAGATCTATTCTAAGTTGTCTGACGATGGTGTATCAATGCAGCCTGGGTTTGTGCCGCTTAGTATTTCGATCAGAATACAGCGTTTTGAAAACTAGATACGTTTCCGTCCTCAGGTGAAAAGGTTTTTGTTCAATGGCTTAGTTTTTCCAGTCATGAGATCAGCTTTTTGTAATGGCTCTGATGAGGCACTCCGTAGGATTTTACATGAGGATGGAAATTGTTACAGTTTTTGAAAACTCTTGTGTTCGTACACTAGACTGAGACATGGCTGCCTGTGTTTTGATTATCGCATCTGGCAGACATACTTAGGGATATCCATTGAACACAACACTACTTCAAACGGAAGCAAGCCCGGGAATGTAAACATACAAAAGTGATCAGGCTGTCAATCGATAGATTAGTTATCATTAATCGATAATTCAGTTAGTATTTATGTTAACGATTATGAAGTTCGGATTCCCTAATAGTTAATTTCCTGTCTGATGTAGTTTTTTGCTATAGACTTCTATTCGGAAGGTGACAAGTTCCAGTCCCCACTGGGTTACTAGCTTGAGATCATTCATGGTTTTTCTCAGTCTCCGAGAAAGAACTGTTATCTGAACTAAGAGAAAAGACAATCACATTCCTCATGTGATCTCCCATGGAATTTCACAGTATTCTGGGCGCGACTAAATTAATCCCTTCGAGTAGATTGACTTTCTCCGTAATTTTGTGTTGGCCCCACATAATAATTTTGCTAAATGGGATCAGTAGTTCTGAGGCCCGTCGAAAGTTTATCATATTGCATTAGATACATGATATGTTTCTTCTGTGGTAACGCCATTTGCAATTGGTTGGAAGATGCATTTAATCTGTCCCGAACATTCCAATGAGCGATCCGGTTAGCAGCACAATCGGGAAGTACACGTTCTTTCTATACAAAACTTAGCTCACTTAATTGTTGTGCTTACATCTTCTCCTTTCTTCTTACGTGTTTCATAAATCGCATATTCCTCTAACAGCGGCAAGGAATGAAATAACTATTAACGTCTCTCTGTATGGAGCAGTCGCTGCTTTATCAAGAAGTTCCCTTTCTTTCATTGAACCCGAATGTTCATCACTGTATTCACAACAGCCTGTCACAATTACAATTACAGCGATAGCTTACCATCCCGTTAAGAAGAACCACTTTTAAGACCGCTAAAATTTTCTTCAATATTTGGGCTATGTAAATATTAATGATCATAATTATTTGTTTGTGAAATTATTATGCATTAAAATGACGTGAATGTTAAAAGTAGTCATTTTAATATCTCAACAAAAGATATACGCCTTAAATTTCCCTCTACTCTGACTCCAGCTAAGTGATGGTCAAAGGTGAAGTCCCAGCTGAAGACTAAGGCTGTGATACCTACAGAAAGACCTCTCAGATCGGACACGAACTGCCCGCGTTTCTCAGTGCTATGTTCTCTGAAGGTTCAAGCCTAGCGCAGGAGTGATCTCCCGTCCAAAAAGTTGTACCAAACGTTGCAAGTATTCATTTCTAAAGAACTGGTTAGGAATTGATAAAGTCCACAGGACCAAATATGTGCAAGCTGAAGAAGAAATCTCTTCCGGAACTTACTAATTTGAAGCAGTTCAGCTCCGATAAAGATAAATATAAGTTTATTACAGTCCTTTATACCTAAGTACTGTTAGACTCGCCAGTGAGAATCTATTATGAAGATTCACTTGTACTAGTTCATCGTCTTACCACTCGAAAAGTGAATAAAGAGCCTTTGTGAAGGAAGGAAAAGTTGGCATGAAGGCAGGCAGACGACCTTGCTAGCAATATAACGATAATTAACTTTTCTTCATCGTCTCTTCACACAGAAGAGTATGGTTCACGAAAAGAGTAAAAAGAAAAGAAAACGCCATCGCATCAACTTACAAACACGTAACAGGAACGACTTTCTCTGAATACAAAACAACGGTAGCTGTGGTACCTTTCATTTCAAACCGATGTCAATATGAATTGTCCATAACTGAAAAGGGCCGTCCTCTACGTGTCTAAAGAAACTGGTACTTCAAAAAGTTGTTTGCGTGGAATCAGCCATCAGTAGCCTTCTGAGTAATGCTTAGACGCAATTTAAAATAACGTCCATTACACCAGCTATGAAGAGACTATAAAATTGGGTATAGAGAATCACTGATCCAAGGCGTCAGAAATGATTGTCTATCAGCCATGTTCCATTTCTTGAGCTACTTAACAGTTTTAAACATTACTTTACATACCTACTCTGCATAGGTCCTATATAATCTCACAAACAACAGAAATTGGCATGGACATAGTTAAGGGCTATAGATTTATGTGTTATATGTTTTAGTCCAAAAGATAAACATATTATATTTGTGAGTACGCCGAGTTACATAATACACTTTGCAATAAGAGATATGTTTATGCAATAAAAGGACATACTGAGATAATGCTGTATCGAAAGGAACGCATATAGAAAACACATGTGTACCCAAAACTGATATTTTAATTTGGAAAATACTTGTTATTTAAAGACATACGACGGTAGATAACGGGAGTCTTCGAGAATGCATATGGAGGAATGCGTTGGCTTTGGGTGACGTTCCGAACTCCTTGCGGTCCTGTAGTGAAATTCCTACAAGCACATAAAAGAACGGTGAGTTGTTTGATTCCGTAATTAAATTAAGGAAATAAAGTGCTCCAATCACGGCCACATTACCTCCCACTTCGAAGAAATCTATGGAACATCCATGACATTGAGGATTGACCGAAGGATTCCCGGTTCATTTTAATTAATCCTCTGTCTAAAATTTATATTTCAAACATTTTTTTAATTCGAGATAGTTGCATCAGACTGTGTTTTATTCGAATAGTTTTTATAAACATAAACAGATTAACTATTTCGGTTACCTTAAGTAATTCATTCGAATTATCGATCGTCCAGGCCAAGCGGTTATATTTCTGCTTTGTATTCGGATGGGCCCTTGTTCAGACCAACCATCGTCATTGAGATATTTAATGAGTGTCCTCAGGCCCTCCAAATACCTGAATAGTACAAACAATTAGGCCACAGCCGCTTCTTTCCATACATTTTTAAATTTGCTGATCATCATTTGACGCTATATACTCTGAAAAACTAACAGCATCGTTAAATAAACCACAAGTGAGGTTTATTATCATATTCATGAAACAAAGAAGTCAACAAAATACATAACACTGAGAAAAACAAAATTGGGTCATCAGAAGATAATATAATGAGACCAGCTGTAGATTTGCCTACAAGGTTAGGCACTTAGGCACAAAGAATTAGGCATAATAATATTAGACTCAGGAACAGAGAACTATCGGTAAAACAAATTGCACAGCTGGTGTTATCTAGTGATAATATTTGGACGTATTGTTAAAGGAAGTGTCATATCACGACGTAGCTATTGTAATTTTAGACTTCAGTCGACCAAATGCCTGAAGGGATTCTGACATCCTGGAACTTAGGGTGAAACTAGCAGAGGTGAAACTTACGATCTGATTTTACATTCAAGCCGGAAGTCCTCTAAGTTTCTTGCAAGGAGGTCATGGATTTGATTTTTAAAAGTAGGAACAATAATTTAATATTTGACTGGCACGTATTTCTTTTTCAATTATCAAAAGTAATTTACTGTCCTACTGGAACGCTTTCTGTTAAACACAAGCTACATGTACAAGAAATAAATCGAGACAAAAAGGTGCCTTGAGGATTTACCCGCAGCAAAAGATCACAGTCACGCAGGCGAAGAACAGAAGAGTGGACCGAATAGCATCGTAACATTCCACTTTGTGCCACGTGTGTGTGTTGAAAGAAGCGTGCAGTAGAAAATCATAATGTGCAATGGGAAAGAACATATCTGAAAAAAATATACTAAAATTAAGATATTCGTTCATCACTTAACGATACTTCATACTTTCAGTCATAGGCTATTTAACAACATTATTCAACCACAGATGTTACATATCGCCGGTTGTTATTGGGAGACATTCTTGAATGTTTAGTTGGTGAAGATTTTGAAGGAGCCGTCTGCTGTAGTTTAAGGCATTATCCCGGATGGCATTCGCCTGGAGGAACTGAGGAAAAACACCAAAATCTTCACTATGAAAAGCCGGTAATGTGACCAAGATTCGAACCCGGTGACCTAACTTCTGAGTACTAGTCTACAGCGTGTCTGTTACACTAGGGTGATATATTTCACACCATGCCAGATCCCGGGGTTATGTAACATGAAGTGGTTGGTCTCTTTTCCATCATCAGGGCGATGAGTGAAACGAAGGCAAACTTCTATCAGACTACACGACACCATCTTCATACTCACCTCACATCCTACCATTTACAGATATTCTATCAATTACACACGCAGATACGAACAGAAGTCATGTATTCTTCAAAGATATCAATAAATAAATCGATCAATTAATCATTTATTAGGCTGAGTTCTTTAATAGCATATTTTCGACTCCATTGTCCCAGGATTCGCCCTGATGGACCGGGGAAAACGAAGAAAGAGTCCTCAGTCGATTTAAGGACCAAGATTAGAACCTGTGCCTCCCGAAGTAGAGACATGTGTTGTTGTTGAGGCAACTTTCTGACTGAACATTTAAATGCTTTAGAGAGGCAAATGACAAAGAAGAAAGAAGGCTCTGAACTGAACAGAAGCAACGATTTACGCGTTATTAGAGAACTTTCTTTGTGCAGCGATTTAATTGCAAAGTACGTCTACGGCACCAGGATTTGCTAAGCACATCCCTTCTTTTTAATTAGCAACAGATATGCATTACAGAAGAATTAACATGTTCCAGCACGATCGGAACACAAAAGAGACGTGACGCTGTATACCACGCCAAGTTGCACCGGCACTTCGTTCGATACACGCTAGGGCGATCAACGGTGAAAATCACACTGCAGTCAGTGATGAGCGGGGAGACGCACGATCTATCTCGTGTTTTATACTCGTTGCCCTGGGTACATTATAAGAGTCCCAGCTACGAAAAGAAGTGCTGAAACAGGCAAATCATTCCCAAAAAATGAGTGAAAACACGGAAAGACACGGGCATGCATACTCTGGAATATGGCAGATGTAGATGATATTTCAGGTTCTCACATCAGCCCTATGATGGAGGCAGCAAGCACGTCTGAAACGTCGTTGAACTTTTACCAGACTACACGGCGCAACTTCCAAGAAGAAGCCTTATTCATGAGAGATGTAGTTTGGTTGTGAGCGATCACTGACAGTACAAGTGAGGACTGTCCACATTCCTCGTATTCTACAAGCCTAAACTTTATGAAAGTAACATATACAAAGTTCCTGCCTTTTAATACCACCTTTCTATTATTCTTCTTACCTACCACCCATTTCCCATGTCTCAGTTTCGTATTATACAGCTTATTTAATTTACAATTACAATTCACACTGGTGCTCAGAATCATTTAATCAAATTGCACGCAAATTATTAGGCGATACTCAACTTATTCGTTTAAATGTTAGCCTTCTAATTTCCAAATTTCTCTCTCTATATGATCTTTTAATTTTTTATCAAGTGAAATGTTAATGTCAAACTTTCCGTCATTCAAGTAAACAAATATTGATTTTTGAACTCCCTCTTTTGGTACGTGTATAGCAAAGGCTGTCCATTCTTGCTATGATTTTCCAGACAGTTTGGAACCAAAGACCATGATGAAAGAATCAAGAAGACAGAAGTTCCCACGTGTTTCTTTTGGATCGACCTATTATTCAAGGAAGGAGAAAACGTATACAAAAGAGTGACACAAGAATGTACAGAATATGATAATAGAGACAGCGATTATCTGTCCAGCCCAGTCTCTCACAAAGAAATTAGGTAAATTTTCATGGGACATACAATTGTTCAGAAATTGCAGACAGCCCGAGTTAAAGCAGGGCTGTGCTACGTGACTTCCCCTGTCTCCGGGGAACAGAATCATCAAGCAGCAAAACAAGATCCGTTCGTTATTCTAACTTCAAATAGTAAGTGGCGTCGCTGTCGTTGAGATTAAATATGACGTTCGGTGAAAGTTCAACAGCAATTACTGGTGTGAGTGACAGAACTAGTCTTCAGAACTCGAACATATGATCAAACTTTTCCGCTCTGTATTTGCCAGATCGCGATTTCGAACGTGGGCAGAGAGATCAACTGTTCTGAGTTTTCTGTATGGTTATTTTACAATACTGTTTCTACTGAAGAGGTTATATCAAATGAATGGGAATATCCTGGAAGGTGTAAGGAAATCACGAAACACTTCAGAGTCGTTCATAGCGTCATCCTTCTTCTATTTCACAACGCTGTATGAAGTAACTGAGATGATACGGTGGCTATGAATGGTTAAAGAGGAGGAATGTCTTTCATTTTAAGGCAACATTCCAAGGAAATACCAGAACACATTTTTCAGACTTTTGAACGCGAGTCAGCCCGATTGGTACTGATATTCTTGTGGCCGCCGCCAACGTGCTAATTCACAATCATCACGTCATTTATCTTTTGACGTAATATAAGCTCTGTCGGTACCTAATACTTCCTGAAATTCCTTTTCTAATGCAGTCAGGTGTAGTTAATTTGATATCAAGCTAATGGAATAATATGATTTCTTGTTTCAGCTTCTGGAGAGCGAAGTCGAGAAAACAAACGTCAACAACAACAGCTATGACAGGCGAATGTTGTACAAGCGTCAGGTGCCAATGATTACCACAGAGCAGCAGCAGGCGCCACTAGTCTCGGCACAACAATGAAACAACAATCGATATCATGGCAACAGACATACATGAAAAGGAAACGAGAAAGCTTCTTCTCTTGAAAACAGATATTTTAAAAAATATTTTTAATCTCTGTGTTAAAAAATGTAGACTGATAAATTAAGCATATATGAATGGTATCTTTAAAACTTTTAAATACCTTCTTATAGGGTCTGATTTCTGCGTTCTATTCGAGACTTGAATCAAAATTTCACGTCAATGAAACTGTCACAGTACTTCAAAACACTTTTGTAGGGTACTGAATAATTCTTGGTATGGAAATGATGGAAATCAACGAAATTTACTAACAAATTAATATTTTGTGGATTTAGATGAATGTGTATCAAACTATGCAACAAAGGAACAGGATTTGAATATTTACATTTATATAAATGAGTAAATAACCGTCCGATTATCTTCTAAATTTACTTTGGGCGTGTAATTAATTGGTTATAAAGTTCAAGTCAATGCAGAATATTATCTAGATCTGTGCGATGGACAGATTGAGTTTCCATAAGTGATAACTTTAAATATACTACCTTGAGGTGCTAAAATATCAATGTCTTAAAACTATTAATACTTGAATATAATAAAGTATACATGTTTAATTTCATTCTTTCACATTAAAACAAATATATTCCTAAATTCCTGTTATAAAAAGTCATATCAGAGAAAATTGTCACATAAAGTAAATCCACTTTCAATCTAAAGTTTCTAGAAAAATGAAACACACAACAGATTTCCAGTAATTGTATATTTATGTATTTGCTTACATTTCGAAAACGACTGAGAGCGACTAAACGGAACTTACGTCGTTCACATAATTTTTTTTTACAAAAGTAAACAAAATCATGTGATCGTAATTTTCGTAACTCAAGTCCAGTTGACAGCGCTATTTAAGGGACATACCTAATCGGTTCAGTCCCTCAGACAAATTCGGGACCTAACACACAGCAGCTCCGACGATGCTTATACCACGGAAGTACACGCGTCTACTAGCGACGTCTAAAGATCGACGTGGCGTGCAGACGCACATGACACAATGGATTTCATATGTCTATACCAGAGGCTACAATATGTGGCCCACGTCACTCGTCGGACTTTATACATTATTCAGAGATATATATATATATATATATTTGGGGGGAATTAAAACACAAAGGTCACTTTGTTCACCGAGAAATTTTCGAAGGTTAATATGAAATTATGTTAAAACTTTTTATACGAGGAGTACTTAGCCAGTATTTTATGTTTCGACATTTTACACTTTTACGTGGTCAAGATCTACAGTTGCTACCAGTATGAATATGTGAAAGCTTCACAGCTTCTCGTCAGGAACAAAGGTGAATACGTGAGGGCAGCATTCGTAAGTCTCTTGCAAGTGTAAACATTCATGCAGCCATCCACCTATCCGTGTCTGCGTCACCCTGATCCATAGATGAACTGCTGTGAATTATTGCAAACAGATACGGCGTGGGATACTGCAACACTTTCTTTCACCGGAAGGAAATTCTCTTTCTACATGCTTCAATACGTAATCGAATTAACGCTTACAAGTTAATATAATTAGCGCGATGCCCGACCGGAGTCCATTAGCTACTTCTGGGAGAAAGTCGCGAGAAAGAGAGCTAAAGCTTAGATTGGCTTCGTTCAATGTTGTGATCTCCGCTCATTATGGATCTTCATAATTACAAATTAGCAGAGGAGCCGTTAATTGTATGTTGAAAGCGGGCAGCGGGTTTCCCCATAGAGGGTAATGGAATGTGTCTATTAGGTTAGGTTAGGTCACATGAGTTGCTTAAAATCCAGTTTAAAAACAAAAAAAGTTTATCCAGGCCTGTATTTCGAGTTACGCAATAGTTGCATTTCTCGGAAGCTCTCTGAAAAGGCGCAAATCAAAAATCTTTATCTGCATAGATATGAAGCAATGCAAAAACTTCAGAAATTATAATTGGCCTACTGAAACCAAACACAGTCTGAAGATTATTTCATGAGCTACGTGAGCGATGTTATGGTTTGTAAGCCTCAGTTAAATGGAGAACACTGAGGCAGTGCGAAGACCTCCTCTTTCGGCAGAACTTAGTCTGTGATTTGTTATATGCAATACTGCGTCTCCCGAACTTCATACAGCCATGTTTCACTGTTGCCCCCTCCCCCGTTTCACAACGGTTATCTGCATTTTTATTCATGTGCGATCACTCACAATGTATGTTTTACTAGATCTTACGTTCTCACTGCGATGGAACCATCCATGTTGTACTTGCGGACTCTAAGGCATTATGGTGTTGCACGTGATTACCAACGTTTTGGAGAAAAATACTGCCCCTACCGTCAAGTAGTAAAGACTTCGTTTAGGCGATTAAGCAATTGAAATACACAGTTACGAGGGATACGCTCTTTAAACTATAATGACAATCTTGCTTCGTTGTTTATGTTGTTCTTTGCGAACAAGAAGGTTAATGTTTTAGGGAGGTTTTCCCTTATCAAACCTCGTGGCTGAGTGGTTGACACTCCTGCTTCTTATGAGATTGTTCCTGGAATCAAATCTCGAAAGGAATACCGGCAAACCTATTTTTAGTGGTTTGCTACAGTCCCTACAGGAAAACGCTAAAAATATTACCTTTAATCAAGCCTTGACCGCCTCCTACCAAACTTCTGAATGGTAATATAACACAAGCGTTTCTTTCACTTTGCCACGTGGTACACCTAAGCAGAACATTTTTTTACGTTGAACCGGTATGGCATATAAATTCGTGACCAGTTTGCCTAGCTGCTGGCAAGTATTACATATGAAATTCCGTTAAACAGTGGCACGCTATGACTCCAAACATTAAATCCTCTTTTGCTACATCCACCTACCATTAATCAAGAAATAGCTCTCTGTATTAATTACGACAAACGTATGTGCTAGAAATTATTTTTATTAATCAGATAAGAAATTACTTTCTCCACTTCACTTTTGAAACACTGAGGATCAATGCATGTACGTATAGGATATCCCTCTTAACACGGGGAACCCCCCCCCCCCCCACAGCAGTAGCAAGTGAACTAACTAGAAAGGTGTTAGCCATAACGCAGAACACAACTGTCGCATGCTAGTACGTGGATTATGTGGGGCTCTCTGTACGTATATATATGTATCTTTATCTAAATCCATAAACCACAGTTTTATTAAGAAGCTAATAGTAGTTCAGATGGTCAAAAAATTCGTTACTAGTTCCTATCCTAAGAAATATTAATCTGGTCCACAGTCCTGACACTATCTTTCTTAAGATGCATTTTAATATTATCCTACTATCTACGAATAGATATTCCAAGTGGTCTATTCCCGTCAAGTCTTCCGACTAAAATGTGTGCATTTCTCGGCTTCCATTCATTCCACATGTCCAACTCAGCTCACAGAATAGCTGTAAACATGTACAGAATGCTCACACAGAGCATTCTGTAGTCTACTGTAAAGAAGTACAAATGAGTTCTTTGCTATTTTGCATTCATCAGTACTTTACTCTGATGTCCATTTACTGCAGATACAAATATCGTTTTAAAAGCTATAGCCTTCCAGATAACTTTTCATATTTATGTTAACCACATCGAAAAGTTTTCAAATTAATGTTACTTAGTCCAAATAAATTTTAATACGTCGGAACGCATTATTTCTTTAATTTTCAATTAAAATTACTTTTTAGCTTCAGTCACTAACACGGTCTTAAAAACCACTTTATTAAAAATCTGACTACAATAACCGGTCGGAATAAACTGTGTCAATATGTACAATTCTAGTACCAAATGTGTTTGTACAAAGTTCACCGTTACATGTCAACCCCAATTTCGGAAAAGTGGCGAAGGGGTGGACCTACTTTCGGTCACTAGGATGCAGAGAGGGATGAATCCCCCCACCCCTCGCGATGTTAACAGTGAGTGCATATACCTATATATAAGACAGTATCAATATACATACACTCGTTTAAACACTTTTATTTTGGTGAAGAGGGCCAAAGAAGTTCGTCAAGACACCGCCGTATGAGTGACATGGTATGTACTGAAACGGAGTGAACACTTCTTCATAATTTGCATGCATCCGATTAAAATAAAAAGTTCTTTGAATATTTTCCATCGTCTAGTAAAATAATAAGATAGAAAACGACGTTTTGGAGATGGGGCTCAATCTCCGGTCCGGAGATAGGGATTAGCTCTATCTATTGTGCCCAACAGAGTAGGTACCTGAAGACGGAGATAGAGCTCCATCTCCGAAACGTCGTTTCAATTTCATTGTGTATTTTATTATTTTAGACGATGGAAAATATCCAAAGAACTTTTTACTTTAATAACTCACCATCGTCACGAACTTTTAGATTTGATATACATTCGATTGTTTAAAGGCTACTAAAATGAGATGAAAAGATAACTGTGACAGGTTGGAAGCAAGAAACTGGGAAGGAGGCGGTTGTGGTACATTAAAATAATATTCCAAGAATTCGTATGAAATAATGAGGGAGATCACAAAAATTCTCAGTTACGATACTCGGCACTGTTTAATTTTATGTATTAATAATAACAGACACAGCATTTTCCACAATTCTCTATTTTGATTTAATCATCTCGCTGTAGTGTAAAACGATGGTAATTAGTATTTCATGAAAAAAAGGCATTTTACATTTTATGGTAGACTACCTGTGAATTTACGCGAAATTTCTTTGTTCTTCAGTTTAAGTTAACGTGCATATTGAATTTATATTAAGAACGAACTGTTATTATTATCATCAGAAATGGTGAACAATGTGACAATCTGATTCTGTACAAGGCTGGTAAACTGCTAACTTCGTGAAACTCAATAGTAGCAAACCCAGAGTTAGTTCCTTCTCTAGAACAAGTAATGCATTTGTCCAAGAGTATAAATAAACGTTGTCAAACCTCTATAACCAGTTCCGACTCTGTCAAGGACCAGGAAGTACTTAATGATTCTAAATTTCAACTTTATAATCATGTTGACCACACATTTTCTCAGTGTATGAAGTTGTTGTATCTTGTTCGCACTTAATTAATTGCATTCTCTACCCTTGATTGCATGTAGGACGCTATATTTACCCTTAGTCGTTGTTTTTTAATTCTATTACGACTACTGACGCCAACAAACTGGAACATATTCAGCAGAAGTTTGCAGCCATTTGTTATAATCGTTTCGTTTTGCATCTGACCATTTCCATTACAGCTGTGCCAACGCTTTAGATTATTTAAAACTCCATACCTTAATGAAAGACAAGGAATCACCTTGATGCACTATTCCTTATCCAAGTTTACCTTCGTTTTAAATACTACCCTCTGCTTTTAGAATCTGTTGGTTTTCGAGTCCCTACTCGGTTTCTCAGAGACCTTTGTATGCTCAATTCCAGCCCTTCAACTAAAAATTGTCCTTCTGCTATACACATCAGCTAGTAATATTGCCTGCAGGGACTTTGATGTATTTGAAGCATAAACTGGTTCTCTCAGTCATATTTTACAATAACTACGACACTTCACATTCGTTATATATTAATTCAATTTAAAGTAAATTGAAATACATATTTTCCCTTTTCACCCCATACTCCTAAATCTGTCTCGTGGCATTGAGAGTGTTTGCATTATACAAATTATATAAATAAAGTTTCAAGGCTTAAGAACGAAGGAAAATTAAAATTAAACCAGCGCCGAAGGTCCATGTCATGAAGACGTATAACGTGCAGTGCGTGAAAAAAAAAACTCCACACATTCTAGATCCCGGCAATGTATGAAGAAAAGTAGTCGGCTGCTTTTAAGTCCGACAAATAGTCCCGATTCAAATGGGCGGGCCCCAGATCGAGTCAGAATGTGGTACTCCAGGTAGAAAGCAAACCCCAACCGTTCTCCATTCACCCTTCTGACTTGAAACTATTGCGACTATTGATTTACAGAAGCAGACACTTATACTGACGGAAATTAAGCACAAAAACAAATTACCAATTTGTATTATTATTAGTAGAAGTACGAGTAGTAATAGCAGGAGCAATGGTAGTAGTTTATAAACTTTTGCGCCTTCATTAGGCAGACGGAGATACTAAAGGATGTTTTAGCCCGTCCTTGAAACTTGCTGTCAATGTCAATAGTAGCGTGTGATATTAGCCTACAATTCACAATACTGTTTCAACGTTGCAGGGGTCACTACGGGCTTCGTCAACGTTTCTGTTGCTTCTGTTAGTTGCTGGGACAAAGACTGGAGAGGTACCCAATGACAACTACAATCAAGAGAGCAGTGACGTCAGAAACAACCTGATAGACCCTCACGAGGAAGATCCAGTTGGCACTTCCAGAAGTTCTCTCGGACTCTCTACATACAGATCGAGCAAAGAAGTAATTCCAGTAGAGAATTCTTCAGCTGTCTCAAAGAAACCTCAAGCTCGAACCTTATCAATACCCTCATTTCTGGGAGGAGAAAAAGAGACAGAGGATAATCAGGCCGCTTCTACGTCTGCCATAGGCGAAATTGCACCTCTAAATGATCATCCTCTGTGGAAAGTTCACAAATACCAAGGCATAGATTTTACACCTGTGGCACTTCCAACAGCTTACGAGTCACCGTCAGAATCATATGGTCCTCCCGCAGAGACATATGGCCCTAATGAACCTCGAAGTCCTACAGAATCCTATGGTCCTCCTAAAGACACCTACGGTCCACCAGAATCGTCTGGTTCTACCGCAGGAGATAGTTCTGCTGCGCTCTCAGCACTGGATAATCTCAGCGGCTTGACTAGCATACTGCCTGAAGACGGATCATCTATCACATCTCCTTTGTCGTCAATTAGTTCTCTGGCCAGTCTTCTAACCCAAAAACCAAACTCAGTTTCTTCTACTGCGGGTCTGAGTTTCGAACAACTGTCCGCATTGGCATCTTTAGTAAGTCTTCTTCATGCGAAGTCTAATGGCGCACCTGCAAGTACATATGGTCCACCTTCACTGCCATCCAACATTCGCGGTACTGAATTGTCTTCCCTCGCGTCTTTAGTAAATCTATTTCCAACAGAAACGGCTTCATCATCCGGATCTTTGCTGACCAGGCTGCGAA